AGCATCTCTTTTCAGTGCTAAATAAGTGATTGTCTATGGGTGTGTGTATGTGTGTGTTTCTGTGTTGTGTGTGTGTGTATCTGTGTGTGTGTCTGTCTGTCTGTCTGTCTGTGTCTCTCTGTCTGAGGGGAGAAAAAGAAAGGGAGAGAGAGGTGAAATTGGAGCCGGTTTTGGTAGAGGGTGAAGATGGGGGATGGAAATCTACATTTGATCAATGTATTGTATGAAATTTTTGAAAAGTCATAAACAGTTGCTGCTTGCTTGTCTTTCCATTTTTCCCCCTTTTTAACTCACAGCTAAACCACCTTCCTCCAGACCTCCTGTTCTCCCATCCTTCCCTCCTTTCTCTCCTCATCCTCTTAATTTCCCTATATTTTCTCATTTCTTTTGATCTTGCTGGAGATTTTTGCATGCTTTATATTTTCCAAGGATCATAGAGTTGAGGTCATTATTATATCATTTCTTTAGAACTAAATGCACTGGAATGTATTGTAGGTTTTAAATGAAGACATGTCATAGCGGATCTAGTAGCTCTGGTTTCAGGGCTCTAAGTTCACCTTCAGCTTCTATGTTGCTTCCTTTCCACTCATTACTTTCACTTTCTATGACAGTATTTTCAGGTGTTGATTTACACCAGGTTCCCTCATGCCCAACAATCTGCCTTTATATCTGCTGACTGCTTTGCATAGTCCCCTCCAGGCCCAGCCCAGCTGCTCAGATTTTATAAACCAGGCCTGATTAGTGAAAACTGAGGTGCATCAGAAAGAAAAATACAGCAAGATGGTGCCACAGACCCAGGTCCTCACGGCCCTGCTGTTCTGGGTGCCTGGTGAGAATTTTAAAACTGATACAGTATCTTTAGATTAATATTATTAAGGAGATATGGATAATTATAAGATGTAATGAGATATAATTACTATTTCCTATATGAACACAATGTGAATACTTTCATAATACTTTTATAGATTGTAAATGTCAAATTCCAATGCTTCTATTATAAAATATCTCTATATATGTATATATTTATAGATGAGTTTGTGTGTCTGTGTATGTGTCTGCAATCATTGTTTCTTCCTAATTATAGGTGCCTGTGGGGACATCATTATGACCCAGTCTCCTCCCTCTCTAGTAGTTTCAGCAGGACAGAGGGTCACCATTAACTGCAAATCCAGCCAGAGTATTTCAATTGGTACTTGCCACTCCTTGGCCTGGTACTAGCAGAAACCAGGACAGGCTCCCAAACTGCTGATCTACGAGGCATCCACATGGGAATCTGGGGTCCCTGATCGCTTCATAGGCGGTGGGTCTGGGACAGATTTCACTCTGACCATCATCAGTGTCCAGCTTGAAGATCTGGCAGATTATTACTGTCAGCATTATCTTGAGGTTCCTCCCACAGTGCTTCACACTTGAACAAAACCCCCATTCAAGGTCCCACCAGCTGCTTCCAACCCACAGAGTCCTGGACCTGCACACTTCCTCCATCTGCCTGGGAGACTGTGCCTGATTTATGAATCAGAAAGCTTACAGAGCTCACTAGAATATTATTGGGCTCAGTGTGTGTTTGTAAATAACTTCATAAGCTTTTCACTTCTAGTTTTGTTTGTTTGGCTTTCCCTTGGAGATTCTATACCTTTAGTGAATTCTAATCTCATGTCTTGAATTGTTTTACTTATCTTGTTCAACAGTTTGTGTGCTCATGGTTTTCATTCAAATTTATACCTTTCTTCTTTCAGTTCCCTGTAATTATTTATCAGTGCTTTTCTCAGGAATTTTTGCCATGAGTGTGCTAAATTCTGGAGGTGACATATTGTATTGGTTCTTTATGTTGCTTGTGTTTTTTTCTGAAGAGACCTAGGCATTTGGAGTTGTGTCCTTGGTTGTTTCTTGGCACGGATAGCTGATCTCATCTTTGGTGAGTGTGTGTTTTTATGTTCTGCTGCTGTTACTCCAATTTGTCAGGTTTTAGATCTCTTTTTTTGGTTTGGTCTTTTTGAGACAGAGTCTCACTGTAGTCCCTCCTAACCTGAAACTTGCTACGTAGACTAGGCTGGCCTCGAACTCACAGAGATCAGCCTGCCTGTGCCTCCAAGCTATTATGAATAATTTACTACATACATTCATTTAGTGACTTCATTATGCTTTGCCACTTTTCATATGAAGTGCTAGTCTGATACCTTTACCTATAAAATGAATAATAATAAAATTGAGAGAGTTTCTCTATGTGAAAGATCAAACACAACACCTCAGAGGAGTGGCAGTAAATCCTAGAGCTGCCTGCATCATGCATTGTCCATGATGTATCTGGAGTTGAGATTTATGAAAACTTTTGTAACACTTAGATATCCAGGATCCACAAAGTAGTAATAAGTATCAGTTTTGTCCACTTTGCTGATAAGGAGGAAAAAACTGTCCTGGAATGACCATCAATGAACTGTGTTGGGTTTTGTTGCGTGATTATCTTGAGAGATTTCTACAAACATTATCTCCTAATTTGGATGGCAACAACAGCTCAAAAATAATATGTCCAAATCTATCTTAATAAAGAATTTTAAAAATTCTTACCCCACCCAGTGTGTGTGTGTGAGAGAGAGAGAGAAAGAGAGAGAGAGAGAGAGAGACAGAGAGAGACAGAGAGACAGAGAGTTTGTGTTTATATACTGCATGTATGCTGTTGCTGACACAGAGACCTGAAAAGATTATCAGATTCCCTGGAGCTGGAGTTACAGGTGGTTGTCAGTCACAGGAATGAATCCTGGGAACTGAACTTGGGTCCTCTGGAGGAGCAGCAAATATGAAGCTGAGTGATGTCTCCAGTCACAACAAATCCATCTTCATACATTTATCGGGGGCTACTTACATAGTTGTGAACCAGTCAATGCCTAAAACTTGCAAAAATGTCTACATGGCTGTGAGTCTACACCTGCATACACGCAAACTTGACTTTTTAAAATTATTTAATAACCACATACATAGAAGAAACATTTTATTACAACAGCATTGACGTATTCATAACAACTTCCTGAGCTAAGATGCATCTCTTTCAAAATTAGCAGAAATTTTTAGGTTTATAGTTGAATTATTACAGTTATAAAATATGGTACTCAGTATAAACCCTATTTGACATAAAATTAAATGAGGTTTT